CTTTCATTCTAAAATCAGGAACAAGACAAAGATGTCCTCTGTCTCTGCTCTTATTCAACATAGTCCCAGAAACTTTAGATGGAGCAATTAGACAAGAGAAAGAAATAAAAGGAATAAAGATAGGAAAGGACAAAGTTAAACTATTGTTATTTGCAGATGACATGATATTTGACATAGAAGATCGCAAAAACTCCACCAAAAGACTACTAGATTTAATAAGTTCAGTAGCATAGATGCATGCAAAACCAACTCTCAAAAATCAATAGCCTTCCTGTACACGAATAACAAATTCACTGAGAGAGAAATCAGAAAAATAACACCTTTCGTAATATCATCCAAAAAAAATGAAATACCTAGGAATCGATCTAACAAAGGATGCAGATGATCTCTATACTGAAAACTACAGTACTCTGAAAAAGGAGATTGATGAGGATATCAGAAAATGGAAGCTGGAATGGTGGTGTATGCCTGTAATCCCAGCACTCTGGAGGCTGAGGCAGGAGGATTGGTCAAATTTGAGGCTAGCCTGGGCTACAAAGTGACTTCAAGGCCACTCTGAACATTATAGTAAAACCTTGCCTCAAAGAAAGACTCCCCCCCCCAAAATGGAACAAGACACTTTGCTCTTAGCTAAGAAGAACCAACATAGTGAAAATGACCATACTTCCAAAACTGTTACACAGATTCAATGCAATCTCTATCAAAATTCCAATAGTATATCTCACAGAATTAGAGAAACAATCCTAAAATTCATCTGGAACCAGAAGGGACTTAGAATAGCAAAGAAAATTCTGGGCAATAAAAGCAAGTCAGGAGACACCACAATCCCTGACTTGAAATTATACTATAAACGACTATGATAAAAATAGCATGGTACTGGCAAAGAATAGACCCAAAGATCAATGGAAAATATAAGAAGATGCAGAAACAACCCCGACGTAGAAAACTACCCATATTTGACAAAGGGGCCAAACACATTCACTGGAAGAGATAGCCTCTTCAATAAATGGTGCTGGAAAAACTGGCTCTACACATGCTGAACATTAAAACTGACCCATATCTTTCACTATGTACTAAGCTAAAATCAGAATGGATCAAAGATCTTAATATTAAGACAGAAACATTAAATCTGCTGGAAGATAGAATGGGTAAAACTCTTAAAGACATTGGTATAAACAAAGGCTTTATGACTAAAACCCCAGCTACACAGGAACTATCACAAAAAATCAACAACTGGGATCTCATCTTTTTATTAAAAAGATTTTTCACAGCAAGAGAAACAGAGTGAAGAGACCACCCACAATGTGGGAGAAAATGTTTGCCAGTTGTTCCTCAAAGAGTTACTATCAAGAACACATAAAGAACTCAAAAAAATCAGACCTTCCAAATACTGGGGATCAATCTCACGACCTCACACTTGCCAGTCATGCCCTGTGCCACTGATCTATAACCTTGGCCCCCAGACTCCCAAATTTAAAGACCCAATCCAAAAATGGGCATCTAAGGGGCCAGGGTATAGCTCAGTGGCATGAACACCTGCCTGGAAACTGCAGGGTCCTAAGCTCAATTCCCAGTACCAAAAAATAAAATAAAATAAGAAAGAAAAAATGTGTTCACTTTGGCAGCACATATACTAACACTGGAATGATACAGCGAAGATTACCAAGGCCTCTGTGCAAAAACGGGGATCTGAAATGAATACAAATGGCAAGAAAATATATGAAAAAAATGTTCAGTATCCCTGGTCATTCGAGAGATGCATATTAAAACAATGCTGAGATTTCATCTCACCCCAGAATGAATGGCTATTATCAAGAAAACCAATAACAAATGCTGAAGGGGCTGTGGAGAAAAACAAGGCCTTCAGTTCTTTTTAAGATAGCAAGAGGCAGTATGGTAACCATTGTTGATCACCTAATATTTTGTTTTCACATTATCTATTATGTCCATCCTTTTGATTTGACTGACTCTGTTCTGTTATGTCACATTTGGTTTTACACTCTTCAAAAAAAAAAAAAAAAGTAATAAGAACTGTGGGAGTAATAAAACCCAAAATGTGTAATTGTCATTGTACAAAAGAAAGGAAAACAAAGTGCTCTAAAGAATATAACTGCAAGGGGCTGGGGATTTAGCTCAGCGGCATAAGCACCTGCCTTGCAAGCAGGCGGTCATGAGTTCGATCCCTAAAAAAAAAAGAATATAACTGCATATATATTTAAGTGTATAAGATAGATAACCATATTAATTTTTGTTGCATCATTGAAAAAAACTGTTTCCAGTCTCACTGTTTGAAAGTCCACTTTATATGCTTTAATTTTGTAACTTGAACAACTACTATTTCTAAGATAACAATATGTAATCTATTAACTAGTGATTTCCTATTATTTTTTCTGAAATTCTGTATAACTTGTACCCTTTTTCTGTTTTTTTTTTTTCTTTTTCTCCTTAAATTGAAAAAAAAAAAAAAAAGAAAAAGAAAAAGGAGCCCTTCTCTACTGTTGGTGGAAGTGTAGACTGGTGTAACCACTGTGGAAATCAGTGTGGAGATTCCTCAAAAAATGAGGATTGGAGGACCCAGTTGACCCAGCTGTTCCCCTTTTGAGTATTTTCTCAGGAGAATTAAAAACACTGCCTGCAGTGATATATATGCACTCACGTTTATAGTAGTACAATGTTCAATAGCTAGATCTTAGAAGTAACCAAAATGCCCATCAACTGAAGAATGGATAAAAATGATGTGGTTTATACAATGGAGTGCTACTCAGTCATAAATAAGAATAAAGTTGAGACTTTTACAGGTTAATGACCATAGTCATAAGTGAAATAGGGGCTGACTATGTGTCTCAGTGGTACAGCTCTTGCCTGGCATGCACAAGTACCACACAAACAGACACAAAGTGAAGTAAGTCAGACTTGCGTGTGTAAACATTATGTTGTCTCCCTAGCGTGAGAAGCTGAAAGAAATTATATATAAAGGATGGTTAAAATCATACTGCTTAATTTCTCTTAGTTCATTGAAAAGAAAGTTTTTTGTTAATATGGTTTGAACAATTGAATGCAGATATCTCGTACTCTGATTTTTTTTTTTTGGGTATTAGGTATCAAACTGATTTAAAGACAATAATATGCCACGTATTAACCATTGTTACCCTCTTAATTACCGTGTTTTGAAATTTTTTTTTCTTTAAGAGAAAAAAAGTCACTTCTCTCCAAAATGTCATAAACAGTGTGATAGCCCACACCTGAGGCCCCAGCGCTCCAGCGTCTGCTGCAGGAGGAAGGAGAGTTGGAGGCTGGCCTGGGCTGCAAGTGAGGCCACCAGCTTCCTGCACACAAATGTTCCAGTCTCAGGAGCTCTGTGCCTTCAGGTGTGTCCTTGTGCCTGTTCTACTCCCACAGCTTAATATTCCACTTGGTACACAGCTAGTGCTTGACTGCTTTTTAAATTTGGAGCATTTGATGAAATAAAGGTACAAAGTCACATCAGAGAACGATAATTGTGTCAATGACATAGAAACCAGTTGCTAGTAGCTATGAATACAATCTGCAAAGCATCTTACGTGAGTACCAACCAACGTGGAGAAACGTGAAAGACTGGAGTCTACTATGCCTTGATCACTTCGAGGGGAAATAGGTGTGAGCCACCTCATGGGGCAGCGAGAGCCACATCGACTAGCCCCTGCCTGGCATGAAAGCAGGGTGTTGAGGGCCGACTGTAATGGGATTTGTCTCGCTAAATTGCTCAGGTAGGACTGAATTTAGGACCCTCCTGCCTTAGAGTCCCACTGCCCTGGGATTACATCATGCTCTACTTGTAAACACTGTCGCTGTTGAGGCACCTCCTCCCTATCCCCTACCAGAAGCAGCTCAGGCCCGTCCTCCACCACCAGTCTCTCGGTGAGCCCCCCACCTCCCAGCCCCTCAGAACGTGGCCACGCTGCGCCGCGGCATATTGCTCAACCTTGATTTGCTGAATGTTGCGAAACCCCACAGAACCTCACCCGAGCCCCACCGAGTCCCACCGAGCCCCATCGAGCCCAATGGAGCCAGGCTTAGTCTTGGTCTTTTGTTTTGTTTTGTTTTAACCTATCTTTATTTCTTCTTCTTCTTCTTCTTCTTCTTCTTCTTCTTCTTCTTTTTTTTTTTTTCGTTTTTATCAGTACCAGGGATCGAACTCATGACCGCCTGCTTGCAAGGCAGGTGCTTATGCCGCTGAGCTAAATCCTCAGCCCCCTATCTTTATTTCTTTTACGCTGCCTCAGAAATAGGATGAATAAACATGACAGTTGTAGTTTTCAAACAACCAGATATAAATGTGAAAACGCTAGTTTTGTTATTTTATTTATTTATTTATTTATTTGATTTGAAGTTTTTAAGATTGGTAGAGTAGTCCTAAGGCCAGCCGGGATGGACCACATAGTGAGGCACTAAAATTAAAAATAAGCCCAACCTGGGCAATTTAGTGACTTCAAAAGACCCGGTTTCAAAACAAAATTTTTTGAAAGGGATGGGCATGTAGCTCAGCGGGAAGGCACTGGTTTCAGTGCCAAGCACCAAAAACAAAACAAAAACACTTTTATGGCAAAACCTCTAGTTTGAATTATAAATCCATACATTATGATCAGTAATGCTTGTGCTGTGTAATCATATGATTTACTAAAATGAAACATCAGTAATGCAAATGTCTTGAAAGTGAAATGGATCAAAAATCTAAAAAATAGAAACAATTGGCTAGAAGACAGAATAGGTAAAACTCTTGAAGTCATAGGCGTAGACAAAGACTTTATGAATAAAACCTCACTTGCATAAAAATTACTACAAAGAATCAACAGCTGAAATCACATCAAATTAAAAAGCTTTTGGCAAAAGAAGTTACATCCAAAAAACAACAACAACAACAACAAAAAAAAACGAAAGGAAAAGAAGCAACCAACAGAATGAAAAGACAACACACAGACTGGGAAAAAAATTTACCAGTTACTCCTCAGAAAGTACTAACATCTATTTTATTTTATTTTTATTTTTATTTTGAAGGTAGTAAAATACAACAAGACAAAACAGAGCCAATGGCAACAATGCATTGAAATTGGTACAGAACTTCACAGCAGGTTACCAGGATAACGGTAATAGGAACCATAATATATCTCATTATCTTCACAACAGTTGTCCATTCAGTCAGGTACAGCAAAATCAAATCAAAAACAGAACATTATAAAACCTATCAAAACAGAATAGAGCAAAACAGTTAATCAGAACAAAGCAAAACAGTGAAAACTATTTGCCTTCAAAGGGAAGACAGAAGGAAATCCCCCGTGTTTGCTATATTGCATGTGGTCATCCTCTCAAGGGCTGCTCAGGCCTCTGGCTCCGAGTTGCTAAAGGAGGGGGGCGAGTGGGATGTTTCATTCTCAGACAATGCAGGCTCATGGGGGACACTGACTTGTTCTCTTCCTGGCTCGGCCCAAGCTTGCTTGCGCAATAGCTGCTTACCAGGAAGACGGGTGGGTTGCTCTCTGCCATCTAGAATATATAAAGAATTCAAAGTGTTAAACCCTCCAATTTATTTATTTAATTTGTTTTCCAAATCCATTTTATTCCAAGGATAAAAATTTGAAAAAAGAAAAGAAAAAAAAACAACAAAATTTCAAAGCCTGTCAATTGGGGTAACCATGATACATACACTGTGCATTGTCATCCCCAAATCATTCACCCAGAGCACAAGACATTCAATTGTCTACATTCAATTGTCTGAACAATACCAGCACAAATCTTTCTCTTCAGTCAACTTAGAAAAATCAGTAGCATAGCTATCTTAGCTATTTTTTTATTATACATATACATGCACATATACATGTTTTTTCTTTCAGCTTCTCATACTAATGAAACAATACAATGTTTATACATGTGTGTTTTATTTATCTCACTAATGAGTGTGCTCTCAAGTTGCATCCATTTATCTATAAAAGTCTCTAGTTTATCATTCTTTATGGTTGAGTAGTACTCCATCATATAAAAATACCACATCATTTTTATCCATTCCTCAGTTGATGGACATTTAGATTATTTCCTAGATCTGGATGTTACAAACTGTGCTGCTATAAACATGGAAGCCCTTAATTTAAAGACCCAAACCAAACCAAACCAGATGTGGTGGTGCACTCCTATGATCTCAGCAGAAGGGAGACTGAGGCAAGGAAGATCATTGCAAGTTCAAGAACAGCCTGGGCTACAAGGCAAGCCTGAACTGCAAGTGAGACCCTGCCTCAAAAAGAATAAATGAGTAAAGACCCAACCCAAAAGTGGGCATCTGAAATGAACAGACATTTCTCAAATGAAAATGGTGAACATCACGGGTCATTTGAGAAACGCAAATTGAAACAACGCTGCTGAGATTCCACCTCACTCTGGGAACAATGACTATGATTAAGAAATCAACCAATAACAAACGCTTGAGGGGCTGTGGAGAAAAAGGGACCCTTCTCCACACTGCTAATAGGAGTGTGGACTGGAGCAACTACTGTGGAAATCAGTGTGCAGATTCCTCAAAAAGCTACAACTAGAAGTTCCATCTACCCACCTACTTTCCTTCTAGGTGTCTTCCCAAAAGAATTAAAAGCTCCCTGCTGTGGTGGTACATGCACACCTGTGTTTATAGTAACACAGTTTGTGATAGCTAAACCTTGGGGTCAGCCCACATGCTTAACAGTAGATGAATGGGTAAAGAAAAGGTGCTGTTTACATACAGTGGAGCAGCAGTCTGCTACACTGAAGGATAAACCTGAGAATTTAGTAAATGGATGTGTGTCATGACTGCAGTCTTTCTTAAAAAAGTTTTTTAAAGAGAAAAAAGAAATAACAGAAAAATCAAGAAGCAAACAAACCTTAAAAACAACAACAAAAGCAAAATGACAATAACAACAAATAGCTACATAGGTCTTCAAGATGATAGGAATTTAGCAATGGTTGCCATATTGCATATTGTTATCTTCAAAATAGTTGCTCAGGTTACCAGATACAGGAATAAAACATTGCATTTCAAAAATAAGACAGGAGGAAATCCTCCCCAGCTGCCGCAATGCGCCCTGCCATCCTCCAAACAGATGCCCAGACCTCCAGCCCTGGCCTGCAAAGTCAACCAAACAGTACAGGTGCTACTCCTTCCACTCAGCTGCTGCCACGGTGCCCTGAGCTCCTCCGAATCAGCACCCTGCTTGGGGGGCGGGAGCTGCTGCTCTTCTGGTCTCTCAGCTGGGGAACCATGGTTCGGCTCTTCCCACTCCCCATGGCCATGACCATAATCTTAGAGAAATAAGTTAGTCACACAAGTTTAAATACAGCATTGCTTCTCTTGTGTGAGAAGCTGAGAGTAAAGAAGGAGCATAACGGAGGACAGATATTGTGAGCAAGAAGAAAGTGTTCACGTGGGAAGGACACTGGGGGAGGGGAGGAAGGGAAAAGGGAGGGGCGAGGAATGGGAAGCAGGAGAATGAAGACATACCGGTACAGGCACGAGCTCCCTGTGATGAGCGTGATGCGGGGGGATGCGCACCGATAAAACACAGCAGCTCTGTGACTGAAGGAAGACAGAGGTGCAGACCGAGCTCATCCCCCCTGGGAGCACTGGGCTCCTCCTGCCAGCACCTCCTGCCAGCACCAGGCTCACTCCCGGGGGAAGGCAGCCCAAGGCTGGGCCCCCTTCTGCCCCAGGTCCATGAGAACCACTTCCTGTCAGTGCACTGTGGACATGTGGGCACCGCTGCAGTGGAGCGATCCCAGGGGAGGCAGAAGTACCAGGGAGCCTGGTCCAAACTGCTGACCCTCAGCACTGTCAGCCAGGCTCACTGCTGCCTGTCAGAAGTGGTAAGTGGTTGTCAGGTAAAAGTCACCAAAGGTGGACAGCAGTTGTGCAGCACTGGGGACTGAACCTGGGACCTTGTGCCTGTGGGCGAGATTCCTGCCCTGAGCCACCCTCCTGGCCTCTGATCGCCTCTTACTCTCTTGTTACTCCAGGCCACAGACACTCATGGTCTATGTTTTCATTTTGGGTTTTGTTTCGAGATAGGCTCTTTATTTTTATTTTATTTTGTGTGTGTATGTGTGCTTTTTGAAACAGGGTCTCACTATGAGTTCAAGTGGGCCTTGAGCTCACTTTGTAGCCCAGCTGGTCTCGAACTTGCAAGGATCCTCCTGCCTCAGCCTCCTGTTGAGAGAGGTCCTTGCTGCATAGCCCAGGTTGGCCTCAAACTCACTGCATTCTCCTCAGTATTGAGATTATCAGTGTGCTCCACGTTTTAAAATGTTTTTGTCCAGGATTTTGCTAAGATGCTCTGCTAGCCTTGAGTTTGCAATCATCTTGTCTCAACCTCCTAAGTAGCTGGAATCACAGGCTCACACCACCATGCCTGCTGTCCTGTGTTCTGTAAAGATTTACTATTGTTTATCTCTGACTGGGTGTGGTAGTGCACACCTGTACTCTAAATTCTCTGGAAGGCTGAGGCAGGAATATTGCAAGATCGAGTCCAGCTTGGGCAATTTAGCAACCAGCCAGTTCTCTGTTATTGCCTCATGTGACCCTGGCTCCTCCCTGCCTGCCAGCTGCTCTTGTCTGGGGCTCCAAGCAGCAGTTCTCTTTCCCTGACAGCCACAGATGCTGCTGACCCACCTGCCTGCCTGATCATCTTCTCTCTGCTGCTCTGCTGCGTCGCCTGCCTTCCTGGTAACACTCAGCCTTGGCTGGAAACTCCACTCGAGCCGGGCTTGCAAGTAACTCTGCTTGCATTGGAAAGGATCTGCCATTCTCTCTACTTTAAAGATTTGCTTATTTCAGAGTGTTATTCTCACTTGGTCTCTGCTCCTTGCTCAGCCCCATATTATAAGAAGACCCTCAGGGCCTACACCTTAGCGGGGCTCAGGAAGGAGAAGGGGGGGGGGGCCCGACGCCACGTCCTAGACTGCTGATCCTCAGGAGTGAAGTGCTTTCCTTATGTGCTGCTTAGCAAGAGCTCTTTTCTTCCTGCTTTGCTCCTAAAACTTCTCAAGCTTCCTCACTCAAAACTCTTCTTTCTGTCCAGCTGAAGTGGCACATGTATATAGTTCTAGAATTTGGGAGGCTGAGACAGGAGGGTTTTGAGCTCCAGGCCAGCTCAAGTCTAGCCTGGACTGCACAGCCAGATAAACACAAACAAAAAAGCAAATTCTTTCCCCTTATTATTCCCTCACCAGCCAGTGACTCTCAGCTGCACTCTTGCAGGTCTGCAGAATACCTAGGTTACTGACTTCTGTGTTGAGTTCAGCACTGGGTTCCTCCTTGATCCAGAACATGTCTGACTGCAGGGTTGGGCTGGGGCTCTCTCCACCCCAGATAATGTCTGGAGACCTTGTGTCCCAGCCAGAATCAGAGGACATCACTATCCCAGGCACAGCCAGGCAGCTCCTCTCCACTGTCCATGCCTCAAGTGTCAATCACCACTGTCCCTAAAGCTAGACAGCCTCACTCACCTTCCAAGATGAGATGATCCAAATTCTTCTGACAAATGTTAACACATCCATGATCCATTTTAGGGCGGGTCTTGCTGTGCTGCACAGGCTGGCCTCAAACTCAAGGGCAGCAGAGTTGATCCTCTTGCATCGGCCTCTGGTCCAGCTGGGACAAGAGCAGCACACTGCACCAAGCACCAAGGATGACATGACAGACAAAACACAGCAAAAAGAAAAGGACTCGTTAGGGAGGTGACAGGCATGCAAACCCTATGAACTGATGTCCTCAGGACATGAATCCACTTTGTGTGTCCAACCTCACAGACTCCAGTAGAAGCTGCACGCAGGCTGCTCGCAGGGTCCTCACTTCCCGGCCTGCTGGGGAAACGGCTCCAGGAGAGGGACGCAATGGTCCCCAGAGGACCACTGCAGGGGACAGGTGAGTGCTGTGCATCGGTGGACACACGGGTGGGAGGACCTGGAGCTTCTGTGAAAGAGCAGGGAAATTACCGTGAGTGGGGGCAGGTGATGTCACCCCAGCACCCCGGAGGCTAAGGCGGGAACATCACTGTGAACTGAGACCAGCCTGAGCTACCTAGTGAGAGTAAGGCCAGCCTGCACTAGGAAGAGAGACTGTTTCAAGAGAGAAAAGTAAAAACCAAAAAATGAAACAAAACAACATTGTAGGTGAAGCTCAGTGTGAAGGTCCTAGGGCGAAGGCACCATCCTTAGTTCCCAAATAAATAAAATAAATGAAAAGTGAGAAATTAAAGAATTAAGGACAAAATGACATTGGAAAAAGGGAGAAAACTGTGGAAAGGATGTGAGACTTGGGTGTAAGAGAGTAAGAAATCAGAAAGTGCCCTTTACTTGGTTTTGCCTGTATGTGTCATCAGTTCCAGTTTACTCTCTGGTCATTTGTCCTGAGAAGTTCTGCCTTTTTGTTTGCTTGTTCTGAGACAGGATCTCCCTATGTGTCTAGGCTGGCCTCCAACTCACTCTGGCCTTGAATGTACTATGTATCTCAGTCTGGCCTCAAACCCATGGAGATCCTCCTACCTCAGTTTCCCAAATGCTAGGATTATAGGCATGAGCCACCACACTCAGCTCCCAGCCCTGTTTTGTTTTGAGACAGGATCTCACTAAATTACTAAATTATAACAGTTGAGTTTGAATTTGGAATCCTCCTCCCTCAGCCCCTCAGAGTGCAGGGATTCCAGGTAGATGCTACCATGCCTGGCTATTCTAAGGGAATGTGTGTGATCTCCAGTTACATTCCCATTTGTTCCTTAACGGGCTTGGTTTGTAGCTAGACTTTATGGCCATAAGGTCCAGGGCGCTTCTCAGCAGTGCCGATTCTAAGAGGTATAATCAAAATATATGGTGAATGTTTAAATGTTAAAACATTACTATAGTAAAAAACATATCACCACTACTCTCCTTCAGAGTCCTCCCCTAGCCTAGAGCACACATAGCCCATCGTCTTGCTGTTTGCCGAGGCAGCTCTGGAAGTCCTCTTTCATGAGCGTCTCCATGATGTATGACCAAAAATACGATGGGTGCTGCTGAGAGCCACCCATCAGAAAGGCAGGCTTGTGAAAACATCACAGTGCGGCCGGCAGGTGGCCCATAACTTTAATGCCAGTTTCGGGAAGCTGAGGCAGGAGGATCACTGTGAACATGAGGCCAGCCTGAACCTCATGGTGAGAACTTTTCTCAAAAACAAACAAACAAAACCCCCAAAAAACAAAATATAAAAAAAAAACCATAAACATGCAGTGTATCTTCTTCCACCTTATTCAGCAGAGCTAGCACTGTGTGATGTCTGGCTCTTCTCCAAAGTTAAAATGACCAGGAAAGGGAAACAGTTTGAATGGATTCAGCCACAGCAGGACAACTGAAGACCCTCATGAAAGAGGACTTCCAGAACTACTTTAGGAAGCAGCAGGAGCCGTGGGATAAGGGTGTTTGAAGTGAGGGTGTAACTGAACCTGTGTCTTGTGAATGACAGAGAGAACCCTGCAGTGGCATCCGCTGAAAGTCTGGTTTCCTGCTGTGATGTCCATCTCCGTGCTCGGCATCTGTTTCATCCTGAGCACATTGGGTGAGTTCTCTGCCTCTGTGTGGCAACTCTGGATCCTCTTCCCAGTGACCTTTTAGGGATTTCTTGGAAAAGTGAGTTCCCTTTCTGGACACACATGCGCCCCTAACTGAGATGTCAGGCTTTTGGAGAAACGCACCATCGCTCATAGTGACTATGGAGAGCTGTGTGCACTTGCAAGCTTGCTGTGCATGGCCCTGACTGCCCTTCCCAGAAGTGGTCAACATAGTTTCGGTCAGTTTAAGCCACTGAATACAGTCCCAGAAGGTCCTTGCAACTCCAGGGCCTGGAATTTGGGATCAGGACGCCAGTGTGCCAGGGTCTGCTGGGGGACCATTTTCTGGCTTGCAGACTTCAGCACCTCGCCACATCCTCCTGTGGCAGGAAGAGAGGACACACTCTCTGCTGCCTGTTGCTTCTCTTGTTTTCTGTGTACGCTAGGTGAGTGCTCTATTTCTTAACTACATGTACAGCCCTTGGTCCCCTCTTGGAGGGTAACGATGGCACTCTAAGGATGCCACTTCAGCTCTTCTCTACAGCTTCCTGCTGTGGCTGTGATGGTGCACACCTTACCTGTGATCCCAGCATTCTGGGAGGCTGAGGCAGGAGAATCACAAGTTTGAGCCCAGCCTAGGCAATTTAGTGACTTAGCCAGCCTCATCACAAATCAACAAATAGAAAAGAGATGGGGGTGTAGTTTACTGTAAAGTCCCTGGGTGAATCCTCAGTACAAAAATGAATAAATAAATAACCCAAAACCAAACTAATTCTTGACTTTTCTTTCCTTTCCCAGTGAATAAGAATAATTCTGTATACAGCAACATTGGCAAGAGGCTCTCCAAGTTACAGAGCCATCAGAGATTCCTAAGTGTGGCCTGCAGGAGGGAGGCAGAAGGTCAGTTTGCAGGTAAGAAGCAATGAGACTTCTTTGGCTCCTGATTCGGTTCCTGGCCAGATGGTTCATATTTTTGGTGCTGAAACTTTCAAGTCCCAGGCTAGTGTCTCTGAGGCTCTTGTCAACTGTCCTACGTGCCAGTTTTAGAATGAAAGTGTTGGAGGCAGTGCTAGTTTTGACCTCAGAAATCTCAATTCCTCCTGCTGGTCCTGCAGGCGTAAGTGAGCATTGCTCTTCACGGCTGTTTCTGACCCCAGCCACGGCCTTGCAGCCTTCCCAGGTGTGCAGCCAACAGCATCCCTTGCCTGGGGCTTCTGCAGTCACCAAGAGACAACACACAGGATTCAGATGAGAGCAAAGTAGTGCCGGCTTGGTGGCATGCATCTGTAGTGCCAGTCACTCCAGAGGCTGAGGCAGAAAAATACCTTAAAATCAGGAGGCCAGCCCAGGCCACATCTCATAAAGCAAAACAAAATGAAGTAAAAGAAACAGCTTTGCTGTGGAGCAGGGCTCAGGAGGCTGTCACTGGTACAGTGCTTGCCTAGCACGCTGTAGGGTTCCATCCCCAGGACTGGACTGGGACCGGTCCTCTCCCCTAGGGGATAACTGCTGAGCTGTGTGCAGAGACAAAAGCGACCCTAAAGGACGTCAGACTTGCTATTTTCAGTTTTTTTGGTTTGAGATAGAGTCTCACTGTGTAGCCCAGGCTGGCCTCAAACTCCCGGCAGACTTGCCATTCAAGGATTAGAGCCTTGGAGAGCAGCTCCGGGTAGAGTGCCTGCCCGGCACCGCAAGACCCCAGTTTGAGGTCCAGCACTGGGGAAGGAGGGAAGAGGAAGTCGCTAAAGGAGGAGCAGGGGCTGTGCAGGTGACCTGCGGGGTCCTGCCCAGTTCCCCCACAGCAGGCAGCGGCTCAGTTGTGGCAATGGGAAGAGAAAATGGTTTGCTCTATTTTCTGTTCTTCTTTCGCATTTGCATTAAACATGGTTACAACATACCCCAGCTGGCAAAGGCTGTCCTTACCTGGAGACTACTCCACCTACTCAGCCTCCGGGTCAGAAACTTTGGTCTTCTGGTCACATAACTATCACTGTGCGTTTTCCTTTCCTTCTTTTTGTGGTCCCAAAGAAGGAGGAACCTAGAGCCTTTGCACTGAGCTGCGTGTCCAGCTGCCCTTCCTTTCTTTTCAGTTTAGGATGGTTCAGTTCTAGTCGATAAATTGTCTGGGCTGGGTGTGAATTTTTGATCCTCCTGCGTCAGCCTCCCAGAGTTCTGGGATTATAGGCATGCACCACCCTGCGCTGTTCAATACACATTTTTGCGGGAGAAGGAAGCATACTGAGAACTCTAAATTCATCTCCCGTGACACAGAGAAATCAAACTTCAATGATAGAAATTTTAATATAGTCATGTTATCTGGAGTTTTTTCATTTTTTTATCATCTGTGTCTCTAAGTCTGCCAATATTTTTGTTTTTTGAGACAGGGTCTCAATCTGTAGGTCAGGCTGGCCTTTAACTCACATGTAGCCCAGGCTACTGTCAAACTCACAGTGATCCTCCTGCCTCAGCCTCCTGTGTTGGGATTACAGGTGTGTGCCACTGTGCCTGGCTACAAACTTGTTTTCTCACCTAGCACATTTTTTTAGTACAGAGGAGTGAACCCAGGGCCTCCACACTGAGCTACATCCCCAGCCGTGTGTATATTTATATTTTGAGACAGGCTCAATTTAAGTTGCTAAATTGCCCAGACTGGGCTTGAACTTGAAATCTTCCTGCCTTGAATGGGCACAAACCACCACACCTGGCCATTTATTTTTTTTATTTTTTTTGTACCTGGAATCAAAATCATGACCTTGCATTTGCCAGGCAGACACTTATGCCGCTGAGATATATACGCTGCCCCTGGCCTGCCTATCTTTTCCTGCCCCTTTTCCTGCCCACCTGAGCAGGGCAGCAGCGTTGGACCAGAGGGGTCTCCAAGTGCTGCTTGCCAGCACAGCTTGCAAAGTTTCTGGGTCAGGGGAGAAGGACAGTGAGAGGACGGGAAAATAAAGAAAAGGGACAAAGGGTCAGGGAGAGCCCTTGCTGCTGGGAGAAAAGGAGCTGCCCAACCCCTGTAGCATGTATATTTATACACTCAGGAGGATGAGGACACTCTCAGCCCCTCTGCCTAGCACCTTGCCTGTCTGGCTCCCTGGGCACCCCGCCTTCTCAGAGCCAGACCTGCTTGTTTACCTGACTGGCTCTGGGCCCTCTGGGCTCCCAGGGTGGCCATTGACTTAGCCCCACCAGTGGGGTCCATCTCCAGGGTCAGCTGCTCCCTGGGTCCCAGCATGCTTACTTCATTCTCCTCTCCACCCATCCCAGTTCCGAGAGCGCCGGAGCACTGTGTGGGGTGCTGCCCCTGCCTTTGACCCCCTCTGAGGGCTGTACCTTTGCATCTGTGTCCCCTCA